ATAATAATAATAAAATACTTAAGTTTGAGTTTTTAACACTCTAAATTTATTGCACAACCAATAAAACAATACGAGACTTGATGGCAAGCAATATTTTACTTAAGAAATAACAAAATAAAAGATAAATACTCAATGGTTTACGATTACGATACATATAGTATAAGCATTCGACTATTAAAGCAGTAAAATTCTAGAACTAATCRATATAATTTAATGTCATTTTAATATTGGACTGCAGCTATTAATGAGCGTATAAGCGACTATATAAAGTTATATAATTGAATAAATTATTTCAGATTACAATGCTTTAATATTTGAACATTAAGAGCAAATTTTGTTAAGAGATTATAGATAATTTCCTATGGTGTGTATCTACGTGTAAGATATTTTAAACATTAGGTAACATTGGATACAGGAACGTAGATGTGTTGTCTCGACTTATAGAATTTTCCGCAACACAAGTATATTCACCCATGTCTGACCAGCTTAAGTTGTTTAAAATTAGCTCTCCTTCGGGACCCAACTGTAAAATATTTTTTTAAATATCGTAATTAATCTACTGTGCTATAAACAATGTAAGGGAATTATTTACTTTGCGTCTGGAATCGATGTCAGTGTCTATTATGTTACCAAAGTTGTCTTTCCAATATTGCCTGTATGGTGCAGTGTCTGTTACCACGCATGGTATAACTACAGTTGAACCAATCATCTGCGTTATGATTGGACTCCACTTGACTATTCTAGTTTTACCACTGGAACACTGAACTGCCCTGCCTGAATATTAATAATAGGTAAATAATTGAAAAAATATGTAGGTAGGTCGTAGATATTAAGTAGGTAAATAATTGGTGAAATGTTTAATTGTATAAATCAGTTGTTAGAAAATGTGAGTATACTAAAAGTATAATCAGTAGAATGACATAATAATTTAATATATTAGGTAACCTTATTTTGTTSTATTTTTTGAAAACATAATATTATTTACCTTCAATTGAGATTGCGACTGGATCACTGGCCATTGTCTGATCCCTTGCTTGACCACTACACGTATAAACTCCTTGGTGATGTGGTTGGACACAGTCAATTACATGTCTTACTGTAACTTTACCGACACTTTGAAATTCACCAGAATCTTCGAATTCATTTGGACCTAATGTAATCTATAAACATGGATATATTCGTATATTACGCATTCATTATAATAACGTATAATTAATTATTATCTGAAAAGTATTTATAGCATACAAATACTCATAATAGATTTACACATTTTTAACAACTTATTTACCTGATTGAGTTGTATTCCACGATTCCATTGTGCTTGAGGCACAGGGCTACCGAAAACCGTACATTCAAGTTCAACCCTGCCACCAGGAGGAACTCGAATAGGGTCTGAGGGCGTTGCTTTTACCATTACCCAATCTTTAAGTTCAAATTTTGCTGCATTTTTTTCATTACCTGTTGATTAAACAAATGTAATAAGTAAAAATAAAAACGAAACCATTGTATTACTTAATATGTAAAATAGCATTATTGCGTCAAAATTAATATAAGTACTAAAATATATWAAGAAAATGTATCAACTAACCTCTAAATGTCGATTCATCTGAAAGTGAGTTCTGGAAAAACAAAATTTAAAATAACCAATTTAATACATATTATTATTATATTTGTATGGCCTAATTTAATGTTTAATTAAAAATGAAAATTTTCTAATAATTTATGGTTCAATTTATTTTAATGAATCTATACAATAAAAATGCTTTATTTTATAATATTTAATTTAATTTTTCTCATCAAGATCTATTGCGTATTTACGTATAGAACAAGAAGTCTTATTAATAAACATAAGTAACCATATACCTATATTTATAGCACATGTTACATTCTATACATTTTTGATCTACTTATGAATGATGCAGACAATCAACAACTAAAAAGTAATTATTATTTATTAACTGCAACTTTATTTTATATATTTACCTGTTTTACAATAATTTAAATCAACTAATAAAATGTATTATAATCAAATATCAAGTAATTTATATTATACACGTATAATATTAATCTACATTTGATAAATATTAAATAAGTAAGAATTTTATGATAAAGTAGAAAGCAGCACATTATAAGGTGTTTATTAAGAGCATTAATTAGTTATTGTGTTGTCATTTTTAATTACGATATATGTATCTATACCTACTACCTTCTCCCTTCTGTATCTATTACCAAGACACCTAATCAAACATTAGTTATTAGTTGTTATTAATAGTGCAATAAAGAATAGTATACTGCCGTATATTATATAGTATATAACTTATATATTTGTACCTATATAAATTATATGCTTAGTTTAAATTTTAAAATCGAAAAATAACTCTTACGTATAATATTCTCGAGTAGGTAAAATACAACTAGGATTAATATACTATTAAGCTCAACAAGGTTTTTTTATTTACATACCCATAAACATTGTTAAATATACCAATTAACTAATTTAATACGTCTGTTTAATAGACTAGCTACCTATTATACTATAAATATAATAACAAAAATGTGATTTAAAAACATATAATAACGTATAAACAGAAACACCACTTCAAATTAACAATAGGTAGGCATCTACAAAAACATAAATATTTGTTTAATAACAAACATGCACTTTGGTATATAATTTTGTTCGACAATAATTATAATTCATACCCTTTTTTAAATAATACTATGCGTATTAAATACATGTATAAAATATGATATATAAAACTATTAATRAAATATTTACCTCTATAATATGGTTCATCGGTAAGACTGCAGCGAATCCAATACTATTGATCATGACTAACCAGGAAAATCCTAGTAGCATTGCTGAATATCCCATATTGGCGTCTGTTTGTGCACTTTTGAAATTTACTGTAAGTTACAATTTAATGTTTAAATGTAAAACGAAATTATTACAATATACAACTATTAAATGTTTTTAAAAAYAAATGAACACTAATTAAATTACTAAATAAAAAAGTAATTTTTTTTAAGTTATTAGAAGGACAAAAGAATAGATCCTTGGTTTGGATTCTTTGTATTGGGATGGTTTTGAGAATTGGATTTGCGATGTAGTTGAAGACGTCATGTTTCAAGAATTTGGTTTGTGCTGGTTAAGCGGAAATCGTTGTGTATATTTAGTATGGTGTCTTAGAAAGGAATGAATACTGCGGCGTCCAGTCATGCTTTATATACTCTGAATATTATCTAAGAACTCTAAAATATTGCATCATCCAATGTAACCAGATGAAATTTTTATTTATAACAAAGGTCAAGTTTCTTAAATCCAATTTAGATAAACGAAAATTTTAATGTACGTTTATCGAATTGAAAAAAAGCAATATTTTACTTGACTTAATGTAGTATTTTGTACAATTTTAAAATTATTTAAATATCGATACAGAATATGCTTCATAATAATAAATAGCTATTATAGTATCACTATTTTATTATAAAAGTCCACTAAGATGTCCATTATTATTATCTAACTGATTTTCAAGTATTATGGTTTTTTAAAAAATATGAATAATAAGCTATAGGTATATTAATGTAAAAAATTATAGTAATAATATAAATCCATCTAATGGTAATCCGTTGCCGTCTAATACGCGACATTATATTAATGTAAAAAATTAAATTAAAAACACAATTCTACGTATTAAAATAAGTAGGTAGTTTCAAATCCCTATGATTAATACTTCTTAAATCACATAATATTTCACGTAAATATTCAATTTCTACGAAATTTAAGCTTGAAATGTGTGTAAAAAATTGAAAACTTATATATGGAGGAATTTTACATTTCATTTTAAGTCTTATATATTAAATTTTCAAATTGTACAAAATAATAAATAACTAAGAAATTATAATATTATGCTTATTTTTGCATTTTCGATGTGTTTCGTCAATATTTGAATTTCAAACGCTTATAAAAAAATGTTTGCCTCTATATTTTATAAATTATTTAATTTGATTAGAGTTAAACCAAATATGAGGAATCCACTTTAAATTTTCAAGCATTTTGATCGAGTGAAACAATATGAACAACATTTATATAAACAAAATCTAATAATGGTACATAATTTTAAATACCAACAAATAGCTTAAAATATAATTTAAAGTATTTTTAAAATGATGATTTAAAATATAAAAGTATAATGTGTCAAATTTTTACCTTAAACGTTTTTAAATTGCAACACAAGAATAAAACTAAATCATTTGAATATAAATCGTTATTTTACTCTTGTGATTAAATCCAACGTAATGAACATTTGAACTTAGTAAAAAATGTATGTGAATTTATGCTAAAGTTTTTATTTGAATTCCAGGAAAAAACTTATAAKAAATCTTGTGTACTAAATTAGTAAGCTATTTTACTCACAATCAACCAGACCTCAATCTTATCTAAGTACATAAATATTAAATAGTAACGACTATTTTATATTTTAGTTGGTATGTAGTACTACTTGTACACTCAAACATTATTACATGTTTACTCACTTTACTATCATAAATTATAGCATAATATGATGTAACGTTAYAAAAATTATTATTATGTTAATATAAACATAATACAAATAGTTATCTAAGAAAGACCGTTTTTAATATTTATTGATATGATATGCATATTTGTATAGCCGTATAGGTAATTTAGTCATATATAGACAATATAATTGATTGTTGATGCAGATATATGAATTCTGCAAAGAATCACCGGTCATCGCATCAGTTAATATTTTATATTTAAATAAAACAGAACATTAAATATTAACACAATTTTGGTATTTTGAATATATATACCATATATTGTGTTTTACATTTTTTT